TTTTATTTATACAGCGCCAAATCACAACGACAGTAAGGTACAAACCCAACAATCATATGGCCCCTATGAGCGAGCACTTTGGCGACAGTGGAAAGGAAAACCTCCCTTTTCACAACATTTCCATCAAACTATGTGCCATCCCTTAATTGCTAACACAATACCCATTTCATATCAGTGTAGACATACAGCATGATTGTCTTTCACTGTTGAGAGCTGATGTGTTTTCAGAGTATTTTGTTGAACAGTGTACATGTGCACTGTACAAGTTCACATGAAATACCAAACGTATTTTTTTCATTTAATTTGTGTCATTTTATTTTTGTGTAATTATGTGTCAGGTCAAATTCATCCAGAATAGAAATCCCCAATAGTTTTACACAATGTTAAACAAACAAACAAAAAAAACCCCAGTGAACTAAAACATACTAAAAGGGCTCAGAAATACTGCTGAGAAATAAGAGGAAGTGCCAGATCTCATATTCATATAATTATCTGAGACATGAAAATATCAGTCAAGTTTCATATTTATTTATTTATTTACTTATTTATTTTTGTAGTCCTGAAGTACCACCAGCCTGTGCAAACACATTTATAGTGGACATGAATTCAGACAACTGTATTTTGGTGTTGATAACACCTAATCTGACCCATGACGACTCTTAGATATCCGGGCTACCAAAATATCTCCACACTTGTACACAGGCAGGATCTATCATGTTTGCAGACATGGCCACTGGAGAATTCAGCGTGCTTGTAAATCAACAAATTTAATCCCTGTGAATATGAGCTCCTCACTTGTTTGCAGCTGTAAAACCCCCGACTTTCTCGCACAGAGAGACCAGCACAGTCAGGGCTCCAAAAACAGCTCCAGACATGAGTGCACACTTCTGTGTCTTCAACAAGCCAGTCTACACACACACACACACACACACACAAACGACAGTCTCACAGAGAAACACATTAATAGGATTACTATGGCCAGATTGCAAAGTGTCAGCTCAGTGTTAAAGCCTTCACAGTCTACATCGGGGTATTCTGTGTGTGTGGGCGTGTGTGTGTGAGGCTGCTCATGCTTGAGGAAAGAGACGAAAGAAGAGAGTTCGCCTCAAACTTGGTGATGGGCTCTTTGCTTATGAGGCAAACTCAGCAGGCTGTGTGCACATGTGCAATAGTGTGTCTGAGCTCTGTGATAATGTCAGTGATGTCAGCAAACAGAGACCAATACCACACAAAGGAACAGTAAGCCTTCTCAGTGTCTTTGGTGATCTTAAACTTCCATTCTGCAGCCTGTTATGTAACTGTAGAGGGGATTTACAGTCAGTCTGTTTTTAGTTGTTGTTCCATGTACTCAATGAAAAAGAATACATGACGGAGACAAATGTTAAAGTTGATGACTAGGGATGGGTATCGTTTAGGTTTTATCCGATACCGGTGCCAAACCGGTACTTTTGAAACGGTGCCTGTGCTTAGACGGTGCTCGAACCGGTGCTTAAAGAATGGAGAACACAAAATTGGTCCAAAAACCTCTCATGTTCAGCTGTTTTTTTGTAAAAAGATAACAATGTTAGCCTTTTCTGCAGCTATGGGGCATATATGGTATCACTCTGGGCTGGAAGCAGTGCTTAAACAATGGAAAAAACACTAACTTTGTCCAAAAACCTCTCATGTTTAACTGTTTTTTCCCTTTTTGGCCAGGGTGAAGGGAGTATCTGCCATCAAACAAGAAGAGTTTGTTTGCTAGTTCACCTTACATGCATTAATGTAATAACGTGGTTAGCCTACTCAACGTAAATTACACACGAACAACATTAAGCTACTCATGCAGAGAAAAACGGCTGCTGCTGCATCATCATCCTCATCATTTCTGCTACACTGGCAGGGCTAGGGGTTTTTGTTTTTTGTTGCTAACTCCGGGTCGATAACAGGCACCACACCCGCAGTAGATGTGCTCGGTGTGAGGTCTCGCAGCAAGCTATCAAATACGGTGCATTTCTCGGCTTTTAAAAAGACGCTATGCGTCGCCAGGTGTTTCATCGGATTAAGGAGTTACCTCTTTTGCACAGTATCACCTTAAAGCACTTGTTGCAGCTGCTGAGTTTGCATATTTTTAATTTATATTTTTAATCTGTAGCTCTGCTCTAAAAGAACGTACGTACCTGGACCCGCCTACTATCCTCGGAAACGTAAAATGATTGGCTAGAATCCAAAGTGTATCACATCTCAGGAAAAAAAAGCACCGAAATATGCGCTGCTTTTCGGTCTGGTTACTACCGTTTATGTCAGAACCAGCCATCATGGCACCGGATACCGGTACCCATCCCTATTGATGATATTCATAGCTCTTCGTTGCATGGTTAAAGAGCTTTCGATGCCTGTGCATGCATTTCAAACTGCCACCGAACACGCATGTGCATTATCTGCTTTCCCTCACTCATGCATGTCCACCTCAAACCAAACCTGTCTCCCTGGCCTTAGGGGGCACGCTCTTCCGCCAAGCTTCAATGCCTTGCAAACGACAACACTTTGTGTCCAGAGCTCCTCCTCCGAGTCACGGCCCCGCCCCTCAGACTGATGACTTATACATCCTTGGCTATGACCCTGCAGGTACACACACAGATGCACTCACCAACCTTTTCCCTGTTTTACCACCTGCGGTGTATTCACGTTATCCCAGGCAAGGCAAGGATTGTTGACCGGGAATGTTTCTGTCCATATGCTCCCAAACAGCACCCCAATCCCAGTTTTTTCTTGATGAAAAAACTTTCCCTGATGCTCTGTGTCAGCTTGATCGATCCAGTCCCAGCTCCGGTTCTGCAGTAGGCAGAGTGTACCGTGAACGTTTGTCTAAAGTGTGTGTGTTTATTAGGTGCTCCATTGGGCAGTCAGCTCTCAACCCCAGCTAGTTCTGCTAGCCCCACTCAGGAAATCTGGGTCCTCAGGAGCTCTCCCACTGGTAAGAGTGTGTGGTCCTAAACCCCTAATACCCCACCCACCAAAACCCCAATCGCCGGTGAACCTGTAAACCAGTCAAGTCGCCACATTTTTGATAAACTGGGTCTTTTTAAAGAAGCTTATTCCTGTTTTATCCTTTTATATACCAGAGTTTTGACCTCACCATGCTAACCCTTCAAATCCCACCCCTCTGCTTTATACACATCTAACAATCCAGCAACCATAACCAGTTCTCTTGCAGCAGGA